GCTCGGGCTCCGCGAGGGGAGGCGGAGGGGTCGCTGGCCCCGGGTTGGACGGGGCGGCGGTCACGTGCGGTGGGCGGGGCAACGGCCGCCCCTCCCCAGCCCCACCCGTGGTGCGAGGTGCCGCCTCACGGGCGGGGGTCGCTCCGTGCGTAGCGTGCGGCCTCGCGGCGCAGCTCAGTCACGCGCCCACTCGCATGCTGCGCTCCGTGACTGCGGGTCGACATTTCACCTCCACTCGCAGACGCCTCGTGCCGGGGGCTCTCCGCTTCCAGTTCCCTGCCGTGTTTGGGGAACTCTAGCCTGCTCCAGGGACGGGCAGCAAAAGGCTCATGACAGCATAGCGAAGGCTATAGGAATCAAAAGCCGTGGCAGAGGTGATATCGCTTATTAGATCAACTAGATATTTGCCAAAAAAAAGAAGTGTCTTTATTTGCAAGCTTTCGGGCACTGGCAGCACTCATCAGGCGTAGGGGATTGCAGAGATTGTAAAAGTTTTCCTAGGGAGAAATGAAAATTCATATTGAAGGCTATGAGGTTTGCTAAGAAAAGGCGGTGCTTAGAGGTTACTTGTTCACTTATTGCCACCGTTAACTTCTTTCGTCCTGAGTGTGGTAGTACGTATTTTCCCTGTGGTGTAAAAACCACCTTATAGGGTGCGTCTACATGTGAAATGAATGCTTGGCAATAAACTCTGGTGCATCTTGTGCAGGAGTTTGTTGCTCCTGGGCACCCTGTTTACATGTACACGCTAGGAGCACATTGAGCTGGATCGAGCAGCCCCAGGGGTCAGCCTGCCAGCCTGGGCCATTGGCAAGGCATGGGGGGGCATGTACCCCCCTTCAGATTGACCCCTGGAAATGGGGGCGATGAGAGAAGCACCAGCGTGACCCCCTTGCGCTGACAGAAGCGCCAACAGCAAAACCGGATGTGTTGGCAGAAGTGCCACTGGCACTTGTGGTTTCACCACTGCCCCCTGTAGTCAGCAACCAGCAGCTGGTACCCCCCAGAATCAGGAGGCACCAGTCGCCCATGCCTGGGGCTGCTCTGGCCCAGCTGGCTGGGGCAATAGGGTGTTCCAGTGCAGGGGTAGCCAGCAGGCAGCCCCTTCACTAATGCACCCTCATGCCCCACCCAGCTCCATCAGTGTCTATATGTGTGTTGCGGCATGAACGACATGTGCCTTCAGAGGCTGGGGGGGGGCATAGCAACTGCTCGCAGGCAGCAGTGGCAATGTTGGTGGTGGAGGCATGGTGGCAGCGAGCGGGGAGCTCCCGCAGGTGGCCGTGGCGGTATTGGCAGTGAGGAGGGTGGCACCCACAGATGCGGCAGCAACGGCCAGTGGTGATCAGCGACCACCTGCAAACTCCACAGGCGCTGCCGGCAGCATCGGCGGTGCTTCTCTTGGCAGGGTGCGTCGCCAATCTCAGGGGGTGCATATGCACCTGGTGCACTCCCTCTAAGCGTCGCCAGTGTGTTGCAATGCACTACATAATGCCACCATAGAATAATACTTGTGTTTACAAGTACTAACCTATGGTGGAGTTAATTTTCCTATGGCCTAGTAGGGCTACATGTATAGACACTGAGGGCATTTATACAGGTGATCCAGGAGTTGGTGGGGGGCCAGGGGGGGAGAGGGACTTTAATTAGATCACCTGGAGCTTGTGTCTCCATGCTGAAAAATGGCGGTAGGGATGCTAAAGCTCGCGGGTAATTCCCATGCTCCAGCAGACTCAATCGAGTGTGCTCCAATGCACTGTTATTATTGTGTATCAGAGCAGCCTCGCTGCTCACATGTAGGTGCCCTGAGACTTCACTGCAGAGCTAATTAGGCAACTCCACAGTAAATGTCTCATGTAAATGTGTCCATGGGGGACAGATACTGAAATACAACTACTCCTTGCTTAACGTCATAGTTACGTTCTTGAAAAATGCAACTTCAAGCAAAACGATGTTAAGCGAATCCAGTTATGTCACCGTAGTTACCTACTAGCAGGCGGTGGCCAAACAACGTTATAACTGAACATTGCTCAACTTTAAGCAAGCATGTTCTCTAATAGACCAGCGACATAATAATGAAACAATGTTAACTGGAACAACGTTAAGTGAGGAGTCCCTGTACATGCAGGTATGCTCCAGTTGAAGAATCAGGCTTAAATGTTTAGTTCATTAATAACCAGCTCCACTAATCATAAATGAATGATTTATGTAGTTCAATTTCCCATGGGGGGGTACCCTGATTGTGCTGTAAGACTCTAACATATTTGCATTTCTCACCCTGCAGAATTCATAACCAGTTTCTAAAGCAAGGCAAATTATGACAGTATAATTTATAATGCAAAGTTTGGCTCTTAACAGATGAGGGGTTGTATAACATGCACCCATCCTACCATTGCCCAAGGAAAAAAATTCTAGCTTGTTGTAGGATGTATGTTTCCTGACCCTAAAGTTTCATTTTAAGATGCAAAATGTTCTAGTATAAAAGACACATGAGATAGCTGGTTGCTTTTCTGATGCACAGTGGGCACGTCTACACGAGATGCTTTACTGCACAGTATAGCTAATTACTGGCAGTAAGCAGCTGTGTCTACATGTGCGGAAGGGCTCCCCCCCATTTTATTTATAAATGTAGCAATTTACCATAACAATATTATAATGCACATTTCACTAGGCAGGTTAAACAGAGATTCAGCAAATGCATAACCCTGTACAATTTTGTCCTTTAGATAGTATAGAACCTGTTAGTGGATATATTTTTAAAAGTATAATACCAGAGCTGGCTGAAGACTGATCACTCTATTTTGCAACAACTGTTTAGATTTTAATTTTTTTTTATTTAGTTCTACATTGGAATGAGAACAACACCTTTCAACAGCATTTTGACATAATTATCTTTTCTGCTAAAGTACAGATCTTCAGTTCAGCTTTCTCTCCTTGGCTGTTACAAGAGATTCCATGTGGGCACTCAGTAGGTTTCCTGATGCAAGTGAAAGTGAAATTGATGCATCCTTTCAAAATGTTTCCACCTCCCTAGTTCTCACTGGAATAAAATATAGTTAAGAATGTTTTCACCTCTAATAAATAGAATAGTAATTCTTTATGAAACTGTCAGCATTGCTTCGTATTTTCTTTCTACACTTTAAAACCTAGAGCATACAGCAATTTAAAATATAAAAAAATATATAAAAATATGCATCAATATAAGGCATTTGGATATCTAGGTAGTTAAACTCGGGAACTTACATCAAAGACTAGTGTAAATATCTACCTGAAAAACTAGTATAGAATTGTGATGTCCACATCACAAGTTAAATTGTCATCATTTGCTTTGGTGTGCTGCATACTTCATAGTTATGGAAGGCACAGAGCTTATCATATAATACACTGTGATCTGTCTAGAAGAATTTCACCTTTCAGTAATTCCAAGGGGAAGAATAACATATAAAGGCCAATCCTACATTCCTTACTGAAAGAAAATTCCTGCTAAAGTTAAAAAGATATTTGATTAAATCCACACTCAGTCCACATCA